TTTTTTTCTGAGGATTTTTCAGCATTCCTGATTTTTTTTTTTTTGCCATTCCCATGGATACTTTGGCAGCCTCAGGAATTTTTTTGGCATTCCCTGGAGATTTTTTTTTTGCAGTCACCACCAATTTTTTTGGTATTCCTGAAGGGTTTTGGCATCCCCAAGGATTTTTTTTTTTTTGGTACCCTCAAGAATTTTTCCGATCCCCTGGGCATTTTTCTGCATCCCCAGGCCATTTTTTTGGGGCATTTCCAGGGATTTCTCAGCATCCCTTGGGAATTATTGGTATCCCCAGGATTTTTTCGGTGTATTTACGGGTTTTTTAGCATCCTCAAGGATTTTTTTCAGCATCCTTGAGCTTTTTTTGGCCCCCCCTGAATAAATTTTTCACAACACCACAGACTTTATGGCATCTCTGGGGAATATTTTGGCTTCCTCAGGGATTTTTTGGCTTCCTCAAGGATTTTTTTGGTGTCCTTGGGCATTTTTTTTGGCATCCCCGGGGACGTTTTGGTGTTTCTGAGGAATTTTTTTTTTGCATCTCCAGGGATTTTTTTTGGCAACCTCAGATTTTTTGGGCATACCTGAAGATTTTTTTGGCATCTCCAGGGATTTTGGGACCACCCTGATGATTTTTTTTTTGCTTCCCTAGGGACATTACAGCATCCCCAAGGACTTTCTGTCTTCCCCAGGGATTTTTTGGCATTCCCAAGATTTATTTTGGCATCCCCAATATTTTTTTTTGGATGTCTTCAGAGATTTTTGGGCTTTACTAGAGACTTTTTTCAGCATTCCCAAGGATTTTTTTGAATCTCTGAGGAATTTCCGCCATCCCTGGGGATCTTTTTGCATTTTCCAGGCACTTCTTTTGACATCTCCAGAGATTTTTTCAGTATTCCACAGGATTTTTCAGCGTCCCCAGGGATTTTCCGGCTTCCTCAGGGATTTCTGGGCATCCTCAAGGATATTTTGCCATCCCATGGGATTTTTCAGCATCTCTGGAGATTTTTCAGCATCCCCCTAGATTTTGTTGCATCCCCAAATATTTTTTTTTTTTACTTAGTGATTTTTTAGAATCCACAAACTTTTTTTTTTTTTTGGCTACTCCAGGCTTTTTTTTTTTGCTTCCTAGCTAATTTTTTGGTGTCCTCAGGAATTTTTTGTTGCTTCCTTGGGTACTTTTTTGGCATTCCTGGGGCTTGCTGCCCTGTGGATATTTTTACCTCCTCTTGGCATTTTTTAGCATCCCTGGACACTTTTCAGCATCCCCAGGGTTGAGTTTTTTTGACACCCTGAGGATTTTTCAGCATCTCTGGACAACTTCATCATCCCTGGACATTTTTCAGCTTCCCTTTTTACTTTTTGCAACTCCAGGGAATTTTTGGGCATCCCTGGGACTTTTTCAGTATTCCCCCACATTTTTCACCCTCTCCAGGGATTTTTCTGCATTCCCACATATCTTTTTCACCATCCTCAGGGATTTTTCAGCACCTCTGGAGATTTTTCAGCATCCCCAAAGGGTTTTTTTGCATCTCCAGGGATTTCTGGGCATCCCCGAGAGGTTTTTTTGCTTCCCCAGGGATGTTTTTAGAATCCACAAGCAATATTTTTTTGCCTTCCCCAAGGATTTTTGGCTTCCTAGACCATTTTTTTTGGCCTCCCCAAGGGATATATATATATATTTTAGCATCCCCAGTGATTGCAGGCCAGGAGCCACCCCAGCTCCTCACTCACCGCTTCCCGGCGCCTCCGTTCCTGCTCCCGTTTCCTGGCCATCTCCCGCTGCTGATCCAACATGGACTGGGAGGACTGGGGCTGTGAGCTCTGGGCTTGGGGCGCCGCCGCCGCTGACACTTGTTGTTGTTGTTGCTGCTGCTGCTGTTGTTGCTGCTGCTGCTGTTGTTGCTGCTGCTGTTGCTGTTGCTGCTGCTCCTGGCGCCGCCGCACCTCCTCGTGCACCCGGCGCGCCTGTTCCATGGCGTCCTCGTCCTCCCGGCTCCTGCCACAAACCACCAGGAGCTGCTGTCAGGTGCTGGGCACCACGTGAAACCCCCACACCCTGCCATGGTGGCAGTGACACGGGGTAAAGGCTGGAACAGCCCTGGTACGGGAAGCTCCGGCACCGAGTGCCTGGTCTGGGGGCACCGTGGCACGGCGTGGTGGGGGATCAGGGCTGCCGGTGTGGATTCGCGTCTTGAGATCTGATGGGATTTATGGGATCAGATTTGTGCCACGAGGTTGGATTCGTGCCACAAGATCTGATGGGATTTGTGCCATGAGATTGGGTCGTGGCACATCAGCACAGATCAGATCAGATGAGATCTGTCCCACAAGATCAGACTTGTGCCACGAGATCAGATCCAATCCGTGCCATGAGGTTGAATTCGTGCCACGAGATCAGATCAGATTCGCACCACGAGGCAGGACCTTGCCGTGGACTGGATCAGACTCGTGCCACGAGGTCAGACCATGCCATGGATCGGATGTTTTACGCCACAAGATTGGATTCGTGCCAGATCAGATGCAACAGACTGCATCGGATTTGTGCCATGAGATGGGATTGTGCCACGAGATGGGATTGTGCCACGGATCAGCATCGCCCCACGAGATCAAACTGGATTCGTGCCACGAGATCAGATCACACAGCGGACAGGATTTGGGTTTGTGCCATGAGATGGGATCGTGCCCCCAGATCAGACGGGACGCGTGCCAAAGAGATCAGATTTCTGCCACGAGATCGGATCAGGCCTCAGATCAGATTCACACCACGAGGCTGCATCAGGCCATGGACCCATACGGATCGTGCCACGAGAGCAGACGCCTCCCCACACCCTCACCCCAGGTGAGGTCACCCCGAAACTCCGTGGTGGTGCTGGTGGTCTCACCTCATCCTCTCCTGCTCCCGCCTCAGCCGCTCCTTCTCCCTCTCCACCTGCTCTGCCTGAGCCTTCAGCGCCTTCTCCCGCTCCTCCTTCTCCCGCGCCGCCCTCTTGAACTGCTCGAAGCTGTCGCTGGAGGACTTTGCCGTGGAGGACGGAGTGGTGGGATGTTTCTGGACCAAGCTCGCCCAGGACCCCATGTTCTTGATTTTTAGGTCCTACAGAGAGAAGGATGGGTGGTGGGGTGAGGGGGAGCCGAGGCGGGGAGGGGACATCCATCCTGCTGCTGCCAAAAGGCTGCTCCCCCCATCACCGCGTCAGCTGTTGGGGTTCCCCGGGGCCAGAAGATGCCCGAGGAGGTGGTGGACCCACACTGGGCAGCATCTCCTCCCCCAGAGCCCAGCAGGTGGCTCCGACACCTTCCTGGGAATGCTGGGAGTGGGACCAGCTCCTCCTGCACCTCACGTTGAATCAGGGGAATCACGGAAGGGTTTGGGTTGGGAGGGACCTTTCCAGGTCATCTAGTCCAACCCCCCCTCCATGAGCAGGGACGTTTCATCCAGACCAGGTTGCTCCAAGCCCCGTCCAACCCGATTTTAAACATTTCCAAGGATGGAGCATCCGCCACCTCTCTGGGCAACCTGGTCCAGTGTCTCAGAACCCTCAGTGTGAAATCTTTCTTCCTTAGGTCCAACTTAAATCCACTCTCTTCCAGTTGAAGACTGCTGCCCCTTGTCCTACAAGTCTTGGTCAAAAGCCTCTCTCCATTTTAATTATACGCTCTGTTTATATATGAAAAGGCCACAAGAAGGTCCCCCCAAAGCCTTCTCCAGGCTGAAGAACCCCAACTTGCTCTGCCTGCCCCACACAGGATGGGCTCCAGCTCTTGGATCATCTTCACGGACCGGCTCGCAACCTGGTGGCCACGTTTCTTCTGATGCAGCCCAAGACCCGGTTGCCTTTCTGGGCTACAAGTGGCCATCGCTGGCTCGTCTCCTGTTTTTCATCCACTGACACCCTCCAGCCTTTCTCCATGGGGCCTCTTCTCCATCTCTTCACCCCCCAACCTGTGTTGATACCAACCCACGGGCAGGACCTTGGCCTTGGCTTTGAGTTTCTCATGGGCTCAACTTCTGGAGGTTCTGCAGGTCCCTCTGGAGGACATCCCGTCCCATCTCCACCTCCAATTGCCCATTTTGGGGTGGAAACCACCAAATCTTGTCCGTACATCAAGATTTAGGCGATCCGACATAGTCCTGGCTTCATTTTAGGAGGTTTAATTGTGAATTTCAGGAGTTTTTTCCCCAATTTTTGCTGGGGTACGTTACCTTTTTGGGGGCGACGGGTGTTTTCGGCTCCTGTTTCTGCCGATCTTTTTCCTGCACTCCTGGTGGTGGTGGGTTTTGCTCTGGGGGTCTGATGACTGGTCGTCCCCCCTCCATGGGTTTCATCTCCGTCCCTAAAAACCAGCAGCTCCTGTCAGAGGTTATGGGGGTCCCCCAGGAACCCCACGGCGAGGGAAAACCACCTGGGGGTGATGGGGGCCTCCACCATCAAAATAGGAGGTGCTGGGGGTCTCAGACACCAAAATAGGGGAAAATGGGGCATTGACCACTGAAATTGGGGGTGATGGGGTCTCAGCTGATGAAATGGGGGGTGACGGGGGTCTCAGTTACCAAAATTGGGGGGTAATGGGGGGGGTCTCAGCAAGCAAAATAGACGGTGATGGGGTCTCCACCATCAAAATGGGGGATCATGTGGGGTCTCCACCACTGAAATGGGAGTGATGGGAGACTCAGCCACCAAAATGGAGGTGATGGGGGGTCTGCACCACCAAACTGGGGGGTGATGGGGGTCTCAGCCACCAGAATAGGGGTGATGGGGGGTCTGCACCACCAAAATGCGGGGTGATGGGAGCTCTCAGCCACCAAAATGAGGGTGTTGTGAGTCTCAGCCACCAGAATAGGGGCTGATGGGGGATCTCAGCCACCAAAATGAGGGTGACGGCGGGGGTCTGCACCACCAAAATGGGGGTGATGTGTGTCTCTACCACCCAAACTGGGGGTAGTGGGGCTCTCAGGCACTGCAACGAGTGGAACACCCGAAGGGGCGTGTCGCCGGACTCACGCTGCGGGATGTGTGCGGGCGGTTTGATGCTCTCCGGGTGTTTCGGCGGATCTTGCCGCAAGGGGGGACTGAACGTCTCGTTACGGATGACAGGAGAATGCATCTTCTCCTCCTTCACTACCATGGGTTGTGATTGGACAACGGAGGCGGCTCTCATCTCCTGCCACGGCGAAAAAAAAGAAAAAAACAATAAAAAGGGTCAAGAAACACCCGGCGATGCCCTTCCCTCAGCCCACCCCCGAATTCCCGATGCAAACCGCTGGCCCCCGGGCTTCCGGCGCTTGCTCCCACGCCGGCAGTGGGAAGATGATGGTCCCCGTTGGGTCAGGACCCCCGGGGTTGGGTGCTCTGCTTTCCTTTTTACCTGTTTTTTTGGCTGGATAGTTTGTTGAGGTGGCGACTGGTGGACCAAACCCTGGAACTGTGGCATCTGTGGGGAATGCATCATGAGAGGGGAAGGAGCTTCCCTCAAGTGACCTGGGAACAGTTTTTGGCAGAAAATCAGTTAACTGTCGTCATCAAACATCCAAACATCACCCGAAAAAAAAACAATCGGCGCACGCCATCCCCCCACGCGACAAGCCCTCTCTTAGATGAAGCCTGGTGGCCCTGGGATGTCCCCATTGGACCCTGGCCACCTCCTCCCAGCCGTGAGCCAACGCCGGGGAGCAGAACCTGCTCCGAGGCTGCATGGTGGCTTTGGCCTCCCTGAGTGACGCTCGTTTGTGGTGTCCCCCCAGTAATTCGACGCTTTCTGCTTGTTCTTCTGGTGGTTCATCGATATTCCCAGCTGTAAAACTGCTCCCTGGGGACACCCCAGCAGCGACGCTGCCCTGCCTGCACTCCTCCCTGCCTGTACCTCTCCCTGCCCAGAGCCACGGAGGCAGGATGAGTTGGCTCCACAGGCAACGGGAGGGTTTGGGGAGCCAAGAGGCTCCATCTCAGGCATCGTGTCCAAGTTGTCATCTCAGGCACTACATCCAAGCTGCCTGTGGCAGCTCTGCAGGGCAAGAGAAGCGTCAAAAAGTGCTGCCTGCCCTCACCCGCCTCCATTCCTTCAAATCCAGGGATTCTGTCCTGCCCACGCCCTCGCGGGGCCGAGCACGATGAATCTGGGAGCAAAGATCTGATGGGGATCTTTGGGGCCGTGGGGAACCACGTGGCCAAGCAAAAGAGGGAACCGCAGAGGTTTTGTGGGTGCTCTGTCTCCAAAGCACGATGCTGCTGGAGTTTATCTCAGCTGGAGATGTTCCTCACTGGGAACGGTGGTGGTGGCACCACCCATGGCCATCGTGGAGATCTGGGATCTCCCAACCCAACCTTTAAGGCTGAGCCCCACAGCCTCCAGTTTCTGGGATGGCTGGAGCTGATTGCACCAGGTTTACCCCAGATCATCCCTCCTCCTCCGCCTGGCAGCCGAGCAGCTGCCTTACTGGAGGCCTCGTTCTGAAAAACACTGTGAAACCTCCGCAGGCCTGACATCCTCCAGGAGGGGGGAGCGGATCCCCTGACTCCTCAAGAGACCACCCAACACTGGCACCCAGCCAGGATGGCGATGAACACAACGTCAACGCTCTCTGACATCACAAACTCAAAAACCCTGAAAACCCTGAGGTCTTCCAAGACTCGAGAACCTCGACTTCCTCAAAAATCTGAGATCGAGTTCCTCAAAGACTGAGATCCTCAAAAATTTGAGACCCTTGAGATCCTCAAAAGCTTGAGAACCTTGATATCCTCAAAAATGAAGATTGAGTTCCTCAAAACCTTGAGATCCTCCAAGAACTGAGATCCCCAAAAGATGTGAAATCCCCGAGTTCCTCAAAAGCTTGAGATCTTTGTGATCCTCAAAGATCTGAGATCGAGTTCCTCAAAGAACTGTGAGATTCTCAGAAATATCCTCCAGCCCCTGAGATCCTCAAAAACTTGAAATCCTTGAGTTCCTCAAAGATTTAAGGACATTCTCAAGAAGTTGAGATCCTCAGAAATGAGATCCTTGTTATCCTCAGGAATTTGAGACCCTTGTTCCTCAAGAATTTGAGAACCTTGAGTTCCTCAAAGATTTGAGATGGACTTCCTCAAAACATTTGCGATCGTTGAGATCCTCAGAGGTTTGAGAACCTCTAGATCCTCAAAACTTGAGATCCTCCAACACTCGATACCCTCAAATTTTTGAGGATTTGAGATGGCGAGAGGCCTCACTGGTCTGTTACCTCAGGCTCTGGCTAACTGGGGCTTCCTCCACACCCACCATCATCTACCAACGGGTGCTGGCGGAGCTCAAGAGGACGCACGGAAACCGCCCCACCACCCCGTACCCCCCTTTCTCCTCATCACTAGGCTTCCAGCCCTAGACTCAACCGCCGTCCCTGACTCCCGCTCACCGGTCGAGTAGGGATCTGGCTTATGGTGCCGTGGCGATGGGTGATGCTGGATGACCTGCTGCGGTTTGGCCGGCTGCGGTGGGGGCGGCGGCGGGGGCGGCTGCGGGGGTGGATGTTGCTGCGGTGGCGGTTGGGGCTGGGGGATGTGGGATGGAAAGGGCATGGGCTGCATGTGCATGGGCCGCGGCGGCGGCTGGTGCTGCAGCTGCTGCACCTGTCTCTTATACA